GTATTTATTTTACTATCAGAACGAAGTTTTATTAGTCGTACATTAAGCCTTTAAAGAAGGTGTTTAAAGGAGCCGGGAGGGTTAACGGGGATGTACCCCTGCTCAAATAGTTTGTGCATTCTAAAGAACAAGTATGCAAACAAACAAATCAATTAAACAGACCAAAAACAATATGCTCTAGAATCTCCAAATTTGGAGGCATAAAAAATGTTTCATTTTCAATTTACGTATGTGTAATTCTTTATTTGGAATCTTGTAAGACAGTACTTCATTTGGATATATACGAATTAATCACGTTTCCCAAATGTAATATAAATCAGAAACGTTCTAAAGTGATCTTCCTATTAAATATTTTGTTTATCAGATCGTGTATTCAACGTCACCTACTGTCAGTAAATAGTGATTGTGTTACAAATTCTCTTCATCCTACATATTCATTGTAGATCAGATTCTCTTAATCCTTCAAATTCTCTTTCATAAATGATCTTTTTCTTAGTTGCAAAGAAAACTATTGTGAGATTTTTTTTTAAGCAAAAAAGAAGCTTTATTAACATACACGGTCACCTGCTGTCACAAACTTGTTTATGTTTAGATATCGTTTAAATACCCTTCGTAATGTATATTCTTCTTTATTGAGTTATATGAGTATGCATGTTACCTAGATGGTAGTGCAATAAATCGAAAAGGATAATAATAGGCTTGCAAAATGGTTATTGTGAATTGAACGTATTTACTCCTTAAAGAAAAAAAAAATATTTGTATGCAAAAATTGCAATGCGTTCGCCCCCAAAAGTAAGGCCCAAAAATCGCAGAAAAAAGAAATTCAAGGAAATTTACTCATCACATCCAAAACTCACAGTTGACCTTGACAAAACCAAACAAATCCAAGATGGGTATAATAGCAAGTTCAGTTTAAAAGATAATAAGAAAAGTAAAAGTATGAAAGTGAAAGTCATAAATCGTATTTCCTGGTTTTCAGAACGTTTATGAAAGGTCATTTACTTTCAGGATAAAATGTTTGTAGCTATTTAAACTGTAATTAATTTGATTACTTCTCGTCTTACATATTTAATGTGTTTTTCCTATATCAAAGTGCAAAAATTCATAATAGTTTAACGTGTACATTGACTTGCACAGTAAGTTTATTATAAGATTTAAATTTTAGTTGGTGATAACAAAAGTACCCTAGAATATAATTTTAATGCAAAAGGCAGCTTTAAGCACTTGCAGTCATTTACTGTCACGAAATAGCGTTAGTGTTTATATATTCGATGAATCATTTAAATCCCCTTCGTCCTACAGATTCTTCTAAAATGAAATATTTCAGTCTGTTTGTGGCCTAGATCTTAGTGCAAAATCATTATTGAAAAACATGTGCTTGCACTAATAATCTTCAAATCATTATACAATGTAAATGACCTTGCATTTGCCCTATTCCTATTATGGTGTTAAAGTACTTGATTGTAATGTAAAAATGTATTTTCATGCATTATGTACAATATTTTACCTAAGAAATTAACACCATAAAATTGCAGTTTGCAAATGAATATAGAAATAATGAGGAAAAAAAAACTTAGTAAGAATTTACTTACTGAAGGTAAAACTATCAACCCTTAATATAGAAGTAAGATATTAGTAAGATTGTAATGCTGATTTCCAAAAAAAAAAAAAAAAAAAAAAAAAAAAAAAAAAAAAAAAAAAAAAAGAAATGAAAGCTTGGTATTATTAATAATTGACTAATGAGCTTGCTTAACATTATCATGAAGCAAGGGACAACAATACTTGGCCTGAAAGGATTAATCAATTGTGTAAGTATAAATCAATGAAAGTTATATATATCCATAGAATAACAGACTTCTAATACATGACTAGGATTATAATTCTTTTTTTCAGGCCAGAGTTTGAAAATCATTTCATTAAAAATTAAAAACAAAATAAACTCTAATTGAATACATGAACAAAAGAGAGCTTGATCTCAATTTACTTTCGGAGATTAAACCATTCACTAATTTATAACACACTACAAGTTTCTCAGATGAACAGGCTTGATTAAAAAAATAAAATTGGGTAATCTTTCCTAGATAAGACATGCAATAAAATCAAATGTAGCTGCTTAAGTATATATTGAAATATGTTGTGAAATAGTTTAAAGATAATCAATAAAATATTCCAGCTCTGACTATACGCGTAATCTGAAAATGCATAATAGCCAAAACATAAAGGGAATACACCTATCTGCTACAAGGTGATAAGCTTGGTTTCTGTTTAAAAGATTAAAAAAAAAAGAAGAAACAATAACATATAATGACCGTACTTGTCTGATAAATGCATATTCATATATAATTTAGAAAATTATAAGCTTTGAAAATATTATATTTAGTTTGTATGCTTAGTTTCGGGTTTTGAAATTTAAAAAATAAAATCACTTTTGGATTTCTAATATAAGTTGGATTTTACAATAGGACATTATAATATAACATTAGATTTTAAGTTGATTGTATCATCCTTGTTCAACTCATTGCTTTATTTTTAGTGAGGTGAGGTATAAAAATGTCATTTTTAATGATAATTGCTACGGAATGGTTATCCATGAAAAGGGATTACATGTACCTCACAAGGAGGTGCGTATTAAACAGAAAATCACAAAACACGCTTTTGTTCTTTATGGTTGTAGTTTTGATTAATAAATTGTGCTAACTGAAGGTATTACCCAAAGAAATTAATTATCCTTTAGAAAAAGCAGTTTCCTTAAAAGTAAACTTAAATTTATTTATTAATTTAGGTAACTGGCACTTCTGTATCATAATCAACGAATTCTTAAGTCCGTATGATTTGGTTATCTTACTTCTCATTCATTTATTTTTCTTCTTTTTTTTCTGACACATAAGGATATGCAAGTTTTGATCGTGACATCTATACTTTCTCAATCTCCGGTAAATCTTTTCATTATTCTTAGATAATGAAATGCAATATTAAGAGGTAAATCTCTTCATTATTCTTAGATAATGAAATGCAATATTAAGAGGTAAATCTCTTCATTATTCTTAGATAATGAAATGCAATATTAAGAGGTAAATCTCTTCATTATTCTTAGATAATGAAATGCAATATTAAGAGGTAAATCTCTTCATTATTCTTAGATAATGAAATGCAATATTAAGAGGTAAATCTCTTCATTATTCTTAGATAATGAAATGCAATATTAAGAGGTAAATCTCTTCATTATTCTTAGATAATGAAATGCAATATTAAGAGGTAAATCTTTTCATTATTCTTAGATAATGAAATGCAATATTAAGAGGTAAATCTCTTCATTATTCTTAGATAATGAAATGCAATATTAAGAGGGTTGATCCAAACGTAATGTTACAACCGCTATAAAATCATTTTTAAATGAAATTTTTATCAACAAAACTTGATAAACTAATACCTCTAGCGATTTTAATTTTGCCTCAAAATTTCAATTGCTTTTATAAAATACTTTTTTAAAGTATTAAGATAAGCAAAAAAAAAAAAAAAAAATAAAAAAAAAAAAAAAATAAAAATAAAAAAAGTTTTGTCTATTGCCGAACGACAAGAATGATACTGACGTCATTATGACGTTACTTTTCGGCACTCATTTTCAGTTAATGCGCATATCTTTTTAACCTTCACGTGCTACCTTTTAACAATTTTTGCCACAATTTTGCTCTCTCTCTCTCTCTCTCTCTCTATGACATAGCACAAAGTGACATCATAACAGGGGTGCACTAATATGTTACAGAACAAAAATAGAATCACTGTATGTGGTGATGAAACAGTAGAAATGGAAAAAGTATTCAAACAAATTCCGTACTTATTATAACACTTTACACATCATTACATAGAGACTGATTTCAGGGAACATATAAACATTTGTTCGTAAAACGATGAACTAAGTAATGTACATAAGAATTATTAAAGCGATTCAACGTCCGCACACGGAAAGAACTAGGCTTACTTTATTCATGACATGGCCCTGTAAATATACAAATTAAACTGACCAAGACCTGATGTCCCTTTTTGAACATCAGATATAATGTAGAGATCTGGTGCTTTTATTTCCTATGAAAAATTAACCTTTTAGAGTTCAGATATTTAAAATCGGGGTTTGTTAAATTGCGATGCTCTTGTTTTATGCTGTTTTCGTACTATGAAGATAGCCCCGAAATTATGTCCAAGATTCATGAACTATTTACTTCAATTTGACGTCAACTTAACTGCTACGCTATGGTTTTCAATCTGACGCGTTCTGAAACATCGCGTAGTGCAAACATGTGCACATCAAGTAGATTTGACTTTGTTTATATTTTTTTAAGTAGCTGACTGTTTGCTTTGCTTTACCTATTTGTGTGATGCATATTATCAGAAATATGAAATTTTTGTTGATTTAAATTGTGTATTTAACTCAGGTACATTCCCGAGATTTTCCAAAAATCCTGATTTCTCTTGCCCATAAAAGCTGGAAAACCTATACACAAATTTAATTAAATTGTATTAATTGCCAATTTACATGAGTACACAATTCACATGAACAGATTAGATCTGTAGAGAGGCGGGTCTCTATATCATATAACAATACAACCCACGAGCTCCCCTTCACTTAAACACTTAAAGACACTCTCACCTTTTCAATAACTTGCTGGCCATGGCCTCGTTTGAGTCATATTTCACTGTACTGGTAAAAAGTGTTGTGTTTATTTAAAGAATATTGTAGTATTGGGAATCCCCTGTAATGCACAGCTTATCTCTGAGTAATTTTATTGTCAAATTAACGATTTATCTAATACGCTAGAAGCAAAATAATCACAAAACAGGTATCCTTGTTGGGAGTATTATTTAGTTTTTTTTTTAAGTAAGTACCCTTTTATTATAAAAGTTAAATGTGAGAAACTCTTTATGCTATTGTTTTTTTTGTTTTTGTTTTTGTTTTTTTTTTTTCTTTGCAATTCAGATTCTTTTATTATTTTAGGTAGTTTACGTAGCATAAATGAAATTCCAACAAATATATTCTACAACAATGGTTATTGCACTTCTTTGTTTTTCACAACAAAAGGTAAGAACATTCAATATAAGTGTTCCCGGAACATTCATATACTGCATTGTGCGTACAAACACATATGTGTAATATCTGAAAATCATTATGTAAGATTTCCACAAAATTTTGAGAAAAATAAATTGAAATAAACACTTAAAAAAAAGGGGGGGGGGTAATTTCTTTCCAGACATTGGTGTTACAAATTAACTTTTTATTTTTCAAGCTCCTTAACTACTGTATACGAAATACTTGCGATCATCTTTTAATATCATATAGGAGTATGCAGGTGGTCAAAAAGAACAATGCAATAAATCTAATTCAACTGCACTTCTGGTCAAATCATGTCCAGGAACAGCCAAGGAGTGGGAAGAAGCGGCATCGAAAAAAGGTTGCAAAAGCATCCCAAACAACTGTGCCTCGTTTGAATATCACTGTGTAATAAATGCATGGGCTAATGAGACTTTAGAAGTATGTGCACCAATGATTAATATTATTGGTAAGAGCTGTTTTTTTTTTTAATTTTAAATTTCCATTCATTATTAAAGAAATATATCTTTTTCTCTGAAGGCTATGAAGTAAAAAATGAAAAGTCGAAAATTGAAATGAATATATGAATGAATTCATCAAACTTGCAATTTTATAACGTGCTGTGAAAAATAGAAATATTTCAAATCTTAAACTCGTCTGTGTCTTGTTTTGACTTTTCTGTTCGCTTTTTCTTTTCGGGGGTGGGGGGGGGGGGGTTGCACGTCGGGTGGGGGGAGGACAATGTCAATTCTGTTTGATGGAGTGTTTTGATGTCTGCAATATACATGTAAGAATCATTACTAGGAAACGTATGCGCAGAGTACAGCTTTGGAGGATCCAGGATTCAGCGGCACAGTGATCCAAATTGTACAGCATGCCCAAGCTCCTATAAATCTACGGAAATGCATCAATGTATGTATATGAATTATACATAATTCATTCTCGGAACACTTATAGAAGTATGTATTGAAATTCCTTATAGAAAATATTTCAGACGTTTTCTTCAAATAACATCAGAAATGTATAGACACATATCAACATAACTACATGTATTATGCTAAATTACACCTATGATTAAACTGAATGTTTTTATCCATTGTATAGATCAAGAATGCTACGATCTAGTTTACAAAGCACGTGAGAAAAGTAGATCTTCATTTATTGCAATTTCGTCCACTGTTGAGACCACTAACACACCAGTCAGTACAGCACACACAACACTTATCAGTCAGCAAATGGCGGCTCAGCATAAGGAATCGACGTCAGATCTAGAAACCAAGATACTGTAAATATACTAGATAAATTAATTAACATAATGTACTTGTAACGGAATACAAATCATATAAGATTTTTATTTTTCCTTCTACAGTGTTCCCATCTCTGTTGGCATTATTTTCCTTATAATCTTGGTTGGTACTCTTATTTACATTATACTACGCATGCGTAAGAGGACCGAATCTTTTTCCTCAAAAAGTAAGTTCTGAATTAAGTTTAACCAAGTGTTCAATATTTAGAGTGGAAATAAGATAAAAAGATTAAATGTATGCACTTCAAATCTAATTTTTTTTCTTGTCATTTTAAGGTGGCAGAGGATAGTTTTTTTTAATGCCAAACATGTGCCGAGGGGGTACACATATATATGCGATCCATAAAAACATGTACATGGGGACAGTTTTCCAGGGGCTAATTAATTACACTTCATATGCCCATGGCTCACAAATTATGTCAACAAACTACATGTAATCTGCCTATTAGAGTGCACATGCACCAAAAATGCACCTGGGGACTCCCCAAATTTTGGCTTGTTTTTCCAAGATCTGGGCCTCAGTCGCACCCATACAACCCACCCCCAGGCCCGAGCGAGCAGGATAAAACACCCAGTAGTCTGTAAATCAATGCATGCCCTAATGAAAATTCACCAATTGATATGGGGTCATTCACCTTCCCTCTGAGATACACACCTTCTTCTAAGGCCTACTGCTTTTCAGCTGAATTTCCTCTGCAACTGATCACGTGTCCTAGTTTCGCATTTACAACTCTGTATATGATAAGCGTCATAGTGACACCTACATGTTGCACATCATTTTTTTTTCAGCAAGCACTCTGCTACACTGCAAATGTGTCCCATAATTATTCTAATTATTTTTCTACATAAAATATCACATCAAACAGGGGGTATCTCAGTTTTTTAAGAAATTTGACCGGGTCTTTAGTACGAAACTATCCCCTGCCACCTAAGGTTTATTCTCACATTTTTTCACTCCCTGTACGAGAAAAGAAGGTAAATGTTCTTTTGTAAGAAATCCAAATTTATTTATTTGAAGAATACAGTAATTCTTTCTTTATGCCCCCGTATCGAAAATTCGGGGGTATATAGTTTTTGCCCTGTCCGTCTGTCTGTTTATCTGTTTGTCTGTTTGTCCGCAAAACCTTTAACATTGCCCATAACTTTTGATTGGTTGGAGCTATGGCTTTCATATTTCACACATGTATTTCTTGTGACAAGACCTTTCTTTGGGTACCATAATATTTGACCTTTTGACCTTGACCTTGGAGTTTGACCTACTTTTGAAAAACTTAAACCTTGGCCATAGCTTGTGAACCGTTGATGCTAGGACTTTTATACTTCACATATGTAATCCTTGTGAAAAGACCTTCCTTTGAATACCAACAACTTTGACCCTTTGACCTTGACCTTGGAGTTTGACCTACTTTTGAAAAACTTTAACTTTGGCCGTAACTTTTGAACCGTTGGTGCTAGGGCTTTCATACTTCACATATGTAATCCTTGTGACAAGACCTTGGTTTGGATACCAACAATTGTAATCCATTAACCTTGACCTTGGAGTTTGACGACCTTTTGGAAAACTTAAACCTTGGTAATAACTTCTGAACGATTGGTGCTTCAGCTTTCATATTTCACCAGTATATTTCTTGTGAGAAGGCCTTTCCTTAGGCACCATTATTTTTACAATTTGACCTTGACCTTGATGTTTGACTTACTTTTGAAAAACTTTAACCTTTTCCATATCTATTCAATGGTTGCTGCTAGGGCTCTTATATTTCACAGGTATATTCCTCGAGACAAGACCTTACTTTGGGTACCAACATATTTTATTTGCATTTGGGAAAGTTTAACCTTTGCTATAAATTGCCATACGGGGGCATCAGTGTTTCACAAACACATCTTGTTCTTACCATGCTCATGTAACTGATGCTTGGTATTAGTATTTTAATTCTCGTTTGTTGTTCTTTTCCAGAATCAACACCTTGCCAAAATAGAATTGAAGACATCGAACGTTCTTTGTTAAAGGAATAAAAAAAGACAATACCCTTGTTTTAAAGAACAAATCAATTGGAGAGTTGAAACGTATTGACATTTGTCCCATGTTCTAACAATTTCTTTTAAGGGGCCGACTGGGTTTTTAATTGCGCAATACTTCGCGCAGCATAGTAAAATAAAGCGTATTTACTCTTTGAAAGCAACTATTTTTACATAATTTATGAAGATAAACAAATTCAGGAATTCTCAGGTTAAAAAAAATTAATTACGTTTTTAAATAACTGATTTTTAAACGATTTTTCAAATGATGGGTAGACAGACGTCGTAATAGTGTGTTTTTGACGTTATGAATAACCGAAGTTCTTTAAGCGGTGTCATTCATTATGCCATAAAATAAAAAGTATAAAACATATGCTCTTGAAATTTTAAATATAGGAAATTGAGAATCTAGCAATCATTTTTGTAACTTTTTATGTAAATCTGTGATATATGTCATGTTTTGTTGTACTCCATAAAAACAGGAAAATATCATGAATTTTGACATTTTGAGATGCCCCCTCTGGAAACCAGACGGTAGAATTTTGTGTTTCTTGCCCAAAATGTACAATATAGTATTATCCATCAAATAATGTAATTTGAGCAAAAAGTCTATAGTAGTATTTGTATAATTTTCTCCTAAGTGCGAAAAAATGGTATTTTCCTATATAATCCTATAGTAAATGTACCTGTATTTTGAGATGGTCCCTAAAAAATAACCAGACGGTAGATTTTCACTAAACTTGGCATATATACTGAAGTCAATCTAAGGTACATATAGTATAAAATTAAAGAGTTTCTCTATAGTAGTTTTCACACAATAAAACCCCAGTCGGCTCCCTTAAATTATATAATCAATTTATGCAAAGATGCACATGTACTAAAAATTGCAGCCAGCAACTCATATGTCCGTTGTTTATCATTTTCATATACAAGTGCTATTTTAATATGTTGACGGTGCGACCGTAGGGGGCGAGCTCATTGTTCACTTAATTTTAAGATCCGCCTCTTCAAACTGCACTAAATATTTGGAACGTCTAGACTGTGACGTCACATGACGTCGTATGTTAGCATCATTTCCATAAACGAAGTTTGAAAAGTGCAAAAAAATTTTAACAAAGAACGTTTAATGTACTATCTGTATGCAATATCCATTAAATTAAGGTGAGTTTATTTTTTGTGAATTTTTAGTTTTCGTTACCGCGCTCGCTATAAATGTTTGTCGTAGAAAATATGTTACATGAGAGTTTTAAAGCAATCTTCAATTAAACAATTGACAGAATGTGCACATCCATATACTATTTTATATGAAAATTGCGTCTTTGAAGGAATACACTTGAAATGAAATCTCTTAACAAGATTAAGATACTGCTGTACCATAAAAAGCAAAGCTAATTGGAGATAAAGAGTAGCTTTTATGGAAAAATACAATGAACAATGCAAGTTGTGAGCAGAGCAGAAACAGACCTTCTGAAATCAGAGGTGGGATCAGGTGCCATGAAGTAGTGAGCATCCCCTATGGACTTGTCACTTCCGACTTTTACTCTTTCTCATGTCCATGTAAACGGAAAAATCCTTAGACAATTCAGTGTGATATTGGCGTCATTAGTCTTATAAAAAAACGTCAGTGAACACGTATTTTAAAGAACGATAGATTGATTTTTGCAAACAAAGTCAATATATACCATAGGATTAGAGAAATGTTGATTTTAAACGAGTTTGTTGATATCCTTGTAATAAAAACTTATTTGTCAGTAGCTCGTCTCGTTTTAGACATTGATCGTAAGTAGAATATGCTCTTTTGTATGAAATCAACTGGGAGACATAAGCTCCATATTTAGGCGATAACAGTATATTGCTGGACACAGAAATGAAGCTGTAGATAGAGAAAAAAAAGAAGACATCACCTTTATCATAAATCAAATTTTTGATTTCCAGCAAAACATTATACGTGAAGTTTAACAAAAGTGTGATGAAACTGAATAGTTTCACAAATAATTTTATAATGGAGTTTTTCATACTTATGTGTTTGAATGCAGTCTGGATTTGTTCTGACTACTTTTTAGCTCACCTGAGCTGAAAGCTCAAGTGAGCTTTTCTGATCACATTATGTCTGTAGTCCGTCTGTCCGTCTGTCTGTAAACTTTTCACATTTTCGACTTCTTCTCCAGAACCACTGGGCCAATTTCAACCAAACTTGCCACAAAGCATCCTTGGGTGAAGGGGATTCAAGTTTGTTCAAATGAAGGGCCACGCCCTCTTTCAAGGGGAGATAATTAAGAATTAGTGAAAAATGAATAGCATCTTTAAAAAATCTTCTTCTCAAGAACCACAGGGCCAGGAAAGACGAAACTCATATGGAAGCATCCCCAGGTAGTGTAGATTCAAGTTTGTTCAAATCATGACCCCCGGGGGTAGGGCGGGGCCACAATGGAGGATCAAAGTTTTACATAGAAATATATAGGAAAAATCTTTAAAAATCTTCTTCTCAAGAACAGTAAAGCCATGAAGAGTCATATTTATATGGAAGCATCCCCAGGTAGTGTAGATTCAAGTTTGTTCAAATCATGACCCCCGGGGGTAGGGCGGGGCCACAATGGAGGATCAAAGTTTTACATAGAAATATATAGGAAAAATCTTTAAAAATCTTCTTCTCAAGAACAGTAAAGCCATGAAGAGTCATATTTATATGGAAGCATCCTCAGGTAGTGTAGATTCAAGTTTGTTCAAATCATGACCCCCGGGGGTAGGGCGGGGCCACAATGGAGAATCAAAGTTTTACATAGAAATATATAGGAAAAATCTTTAAAAATCTTCTTCTCAAGAACAGTAAAGCCATGAAGAGTCATATTTATATGGAAGCATCCTCAGGTAGTGTAGATTCAAGTTTGTTCAAATCATGACCCCCGGGGGTAGGGCGGGGCCACAATGGAGGATCAAAGTTTTACATAGAAATATATAGGAAAAATCTTTAAAAATCTTCTTCTCAAGAACAGTAAAGCCATGAAGAGCCATATTTATATGGAAGCATCCTCAGGTAGTGTAGATTCAAGTTTGTTCAAATCATGACCCCCGGGGGTAGGGCGGGGCCACAATGGAGGATCAAAGTTTTACATATAAATATATAGGAAAAATCTTTAAAAATCTTCTTCTCAAGAACAGTAAAGCCATGAAGAGTCATATTTATATGGAAGCATCCCCAGGTAGTGTAGATTCAAGTTTGTTCAAATCATGACCCCCAGGGGTAGGGCGGGGCCACAATGGAGGATAAAAGTTTTACATAGAAATATATAGGAAAAATCTTTAAACATCTTCTTTTCAAGAACAGAAAAGCCATTAAGAGTCATATTTATATGGAAGCATCCTCAGGAAGTGTAGATTCAATTTTGTTCAAATCATGACCCCCGGGGGTAGGGCGGGGCCACAATGGAGGATCAAAATTTTAAATAGAAAAATAATGGAAAAATCTTTAAAAATCTTCTTCTCAAGAACAGTAAAGCCATGAAGAGTTATATTTATACGGAAGCATCCTCAGGTAGTGTAGATTCAAATTTGTTCAAATCATGACCCCCGGGGGGTAGGGCGGGGCCACAATGGAGGATCCAAATTTTACATAGAAATATATAGGAAAAATCTTTAAAAATCTTCTGCTCAAGAACAGTAAAGCCATGAAGAGTCACATTTATATGGAAGCATCCTCAGGTAGTGTAGATTCAATTTTGTTCAAATCATGGCTCCCGGGGGTAGGGCGGGGCCATAATGGAGGATCAAAATTTTACATAGAAATATATAGGAAAAATCTTCTTCTCAAGAACAGCAAAACCATGATGAGTCAAATTTATATGGAAGCATCCTCAGGTAGTGTAGATTCAATTTTGTTCAAATGATGACCCCCGGGGGTAGGGTGGGGCCCAATGGGGGATCGAAAGTTTTACGTAAGAACATATAGAAAAAAAAATTTCTTCTCAAGAACAGAAAAGCTATGTTAGTCTTATTGATATGGAAGCATCCTTGGGTAATGTAGATTCAAGTTTGTTCAAATGATGACCCCTGAGATAGGGAGGAGCTACAATGGGGGATCAAATTTTTACAAAGGAATAAATGGGAAAATTCTTTTAAAATCTTTTCAAGTACAACAAATTCATTTGTTATATTGACATGAAAGCATCATGAGGTAGTTTAAAATTCAAGCCCCCCCCCCCCCCCTGTTCATTACTGAACTGATTTGTGCCTTAGTCTAGCCAGTGTGCTCAGGTGAGCGATGTGGCCCATGGGCCTCTTGTTTAAAACAAATAATGCGATTCTAGGAATAAACCGATATCTCTCTCTCTCTCTCTCTCTCTCTCTCTCTCTCTCTCTCTCTCTCTCTCTCTCTCTCTCTCTCTCTCTCTCTTGTTTTGTTTCGTTTTTTTTTTTTTTTTTTGCTATGATATATTTCAAAAAGCAAAACGCTGCATCATATTCTAGTTAAATGCGCTTCCTTTTCTTGAACTTACAAGCATATACTTGTTAACTAAACTATCCGGTAACTAGCTTTGTCACATATTCTGTTTTAAGTACGACATATGTGTCTTTTTTGGAAGGGGGGGGGGGTCAAAATGAGAATCACTCCACAAAGAAATTATTTACTTTCAGAACACCCTTGAAAATAAATATGAATAAGTAGAAATCGGTTTTTAAACCTCATGGTAGTCTTTTGTGAACTTTGTTATAAAGAACAATAATGATTTTTAATCCATGTCGTATGTTGAAAAAAAAGTTCACTTAATCGTGCAAAATCTGCCTACGTTTAGAGTAGGTTTTCCGTACGCCTTTTCCTCATAATACATTATTTTTTTTCGGAATGAAAACTCAAGTATGGATGACGATGTACAATACAAACATTTATGTTTAAATAACCCGATATTGTTCATTTTACTTTGCATATAACAATATATGTGACTGTTGTGTGAGTCTTAAATTACATACCTGAATCATTTTATCACACGCTACAATTAGAGACTCAAATATAGGTCTCATACCAGAATTTAATATATGTACATATAACACCCACACTTGGGAAAACGTATCTTACTTTTGAAGGACATATAGTAAACAAATTAAGGAAGGTGATATTGCTACAATACCGGGGGAAAAATAATACTAACTGTGCCGGTCGGCCGGACGGCTTCGATCTTCGGTGGAGAGATAGGTCAGTTGGTAGAGCACCTGACTAGAAATTCGGGGGGGGGGGGGGGGCAGGATTGAATACGGTCTGGTCTGTCACATTTTTCTCCCCTCCTGTTACATATGATGCAATGCCCTGGAAGCGATAGGTGAAAGAACTCCCAAAGAAGAGCCTGGGTTGGTGAATTCGAGGCGAAGACATTAAGAAGGGAGGAGTTCGATCTCCA